TATTTATTTATTTACTCAGAAGCAATTACCATTCGCCATTTGCCGAAGGCACGTTCGAGCGCTTCTCCTATGTCAAATGTAATCCTAAAATATTTCCACCCCCGTAAATGTATCGTGCGATGTTATCGTTTCAGAGCGTTATAAACGATAATTTTTTACTCGTGAAAAATAATTATTTATCGAAAATTTGGTGTTTGTCTACGTATGCTCTTTTGGAATGCGTGACAGAAGATTAAATGCTGCATATTGTTTCTTTTCGAATAAACGATAAATTTACGCCTTTGGAAAGGCGTAGATCTAATTTCTAATCTAATCTGGACCTAATACATAGAAGATGGCACCCCGTAGTCGATATACTTCCAACCTGGAACTGTCTAAATAGGCATTCGTTACAGGGAACATCGCCGAAACAATCGACGAGTTACTGCGATCGATTTCCAATCATTATTAATTATCGGAGTTAATGATCTGGCTGATTGGAAGGGAGCCCGTCTCGAGGACCTTGTTAGTCCCACGGTGGCTGCTTCTTCGATATAGATATTTGTTCTTTCGGTCCTGTCCGTCGCGTCAGTTTGGTCGGGTGTCCTCGTGATCGTTAATTAAATAAATTCACCGCTAATTGTGTTCGGGCTTTTCATTACGAACGTGTCGGATCGTTACCGTTCCCAGCAGAGTCGTGAGACGGGGACTCCCCCGTCTCCAGGGCATTCTACATGCGCGACACTCGCTTTCTGGCCCGTCTTTCCACCGCGACGTTAAAAATTCCCACTTCCATGCATTTCCATCGTTCCGATACCACGGTTCATTAATTGCACTCGATGCTAATATATCATTTTTGCACGGCGCATTATTAAATTGTTAAAGTAGCAATCCTGGGAGGGGGACGGGAATTACTTACAGCGTTAGGAAATATTTATTTATATATCATTATTTCACTGCGATAATTGATGGAGTACATGAAAATAATTCGTACTTGTGTAAATATGCAGGCAACAATTGAGAGCAATAACAATCATTGCTCGTTATTTTTACTCAGAGTTCTACGGTTAATTAAGTGTCATTACAGCTGACGCTTTTCGTAAGCTCCTCATCGTCGAGCACCCCCGATACCGAGTTACGGAACGTTGCACTCGACGAGCGACCTTTGTTGCTACTTTGACAATTTATTCCGAAGTCTCGACGCTTTGTCACCTGATACCTTCAATTAACGAGATCGCCAATTTTACGGTAACGTGATCGTCAATCGCGCACCGGCATCGAGTGACGCCCAACTTATGGCTGGTCTTTTATTTACAAACCCTGAAGCAAATTGTTTATTCTTTCGGAAAAAGATTCTACAACGGAGAGTCGAAACGTGAAATCAAAAGCTTGCATGTAAGTAACAAAGAACACACGTGTGTCACATCGATCGAGACATGAAAATAATAAAAAAAGATTACGTAAACATTTTTTTCCATTCGCTTTTATTCAAGAGTTTCTCTAGTGGCGCGCCATTCTCCTTCTAAGAGACGCACGTTTCTTTAATTTACTCCCACTTGCAAGTTTCTCATCGAGTAAATCGATTCTATTTATTGTTTTTCATTGTTTTCACATATCCAGCCATATTCTTCCCCATTAATTGGTAAAGGAGGTTCCAAAGTTCCATTTCGCCAGGCTTCGCCACTTCACTCGGACCTTTATTTAAATAATTTTTTCATTTAGATGCCACCGATGTCTCCTCGCGACACGTACACGAAGCAACGTCTGCCCAACGTAGAATATTTGACACTGGAATACGTCAAAAGGGAGCAAGAGGAGAATACGATAACTCAAGTCAGTGTTCTAAAAGCTGCAGCGGCATCAAGTTGAAATAAGAGGAACGACGATGAAGAAATGTAAATGTAAATATTAATACAGAGAGTCGGATACTGTATGATGCCTAAGAGCCGAAGGGAGGTTTCTCTTGGGATCATCCTTCCCTCGCTTCTTTCGACCGTTCAAATATTTAATGGATTTGGCTACATCCACTCCCGCGGCTTTGTACATATTCGCGGCGATTTTGGCGCGCGCAGCTTTACTCGCGCATCCGCGGTTATACGCGTGCGCGACACAACGGGGAATTTCGCAGGCGTTCGTTTCGAAAAATCATCGGGAAAGGCCCGCTCGTTTGGCTCCAACACCGAGGAATGCCGATGAAAGTCTTCCGCTTGATTAATTGACAACCGATGTGTATAATGTTATACATTTCCAGATAGACGAACCAGTGTTCCTGCAATCCTACGATTCTCGAGTATTTTATTAGGGAGTTTCGACCATTTTGACGAATTATGTGTACGTTGGAAAAGCATGTTTCTTACGTAATATGAATATTCAAATCAGAAGATTTAAGATAATATTTATATTGGAATATTAAAAATATTACAATACTAAGAGTTACACGACACTCAAGTATTTTATCGATGAGTTAGTAATTGTTCGACAGAGATATTTTCATGTTCATTCACAAGCCAATCCGCGATATTTTTATATTATATTTTATCAATTTTGAAAAACTAGAGAAATACAAAATTCGTTGTAGTTCCCGGAACATTTAATTTTACTCCATCGTTTTCGACCACGTTCTTTTGTACGTACTGCAAGAGACTTCGATGAATTTCTATAATTTAATAAATTCAATTACCGTCATTTTCTCGATTCCAAATTATGCTTCATACGGCAGCGAGCAAGGCGATGTTCAGGGGAACAGAGAGACGGTACAGAATTCGATGGGGGGAGAAAAAAGCAGATCGACCATTAATTAGTTACCAACCGATTCCGATCAACCCCGGATGTGTTCCGCGAGATTTCACGGAGTTAATTAATTCCGCCCGTATAATTAAACTTCCGTTCTGCTGCACACGTGCTCTGTTCGATTCGAATAAATAAGGAGATATTCGAACCCGAAAGCAATTTAACGAATGCAGTCGCGCGTGCAGAGACATTTCACAAAACGAAAGACTTGTATCTACGTTTAACGCGGAACTAAATATTTATTATAAAATTTATAAAAAGTACGAAAGTGATTGGGGGATTTAACAAATAAATTTTTGTAAATGGAATCTCGTATGTTCATTCATAATAAGAAACCATTATTTTAGACAAAATTCATCGATTTATCATATGCAGCTAACATTCGTGCGCATTATTAAAAAGTATAGTAGATGAAGAAACCGGCAACACTAATTATATATAAAATTATGAATTAATGAATTAAATATTTGTTGCATCGTTCAATACTTTCTAGGTGTATATCAGAGGATAAATTTTGCGTTGGAGGGTGGATGGGCAGACAGGGAGAAAAAGTGAAGAGAATACCGAAGTCCCGTTTCGCAGGATTTGACGGAATTAATTAACCCCGTGGTATAATTAAAGTCCCGTTTCGCCCGACGGAGAACGCAACTATCCCATGAAAGTTAAACCGACGAAGATCAAATCGTGAATCCTAGTCGCAAACTGTGCATGGTGTTCGCGCAGCCGTGCTGCGAAAGAGCGGAGGAATCGTGCGAAATGAAAATGGAAGAGAAAAGGGAAACAGCCGACCGCGGGTCGTCGAGGGAGGGGGAGGAAGAGGATTTAATGGCTAGAAAGAGAAAAGACTTTAATTAAATTCGACCATTTTCGAACCGGCCCCCCTGCTCCATCGAATTGTCGACGGAAAATCAAAGACCCGTTTACAAAGTTTAATATAGTTCGAGAAACGAAGATTTTAAAGCATTTGTTCTATTGAAAATTCAATTTATTTGTTCTAGGTAAACACGCGCCACTGTACAACGAATTGTTTCGACGCTCTGGCACGGCTAAAGTATCGACGACTACGATTGGAAGAAATTGCTTATCGGATTTTCAACAAATATTTCACAAACGAACACACGAAAATAACTTGAATTGCTACAAATTTACAAATAATTTGCGTTACTCTGTTCTTGCTTGGGTCTTTGTTACAATCTCTGGAGTACTGCTATTACTTCGCACCTGTTTCCTCGTGTTACAACCAGACTATCGCTCTGTTCCCTGTTTCTGGTACCATGATGGGGCATTACGGTGTCAAGGGAATTTACTGTCATAGGAAACTTCTGGCTCACGAGCGAACGTTGGATATCTCTATTCTAAACCTACCCAAACACCTCGCCGTGGAAGCGTCTTAGAACTTTGAAACTGGTGAATTTGAATTGACGTTTAACGAGACTTTGTTTTCTGAATTGTACATCTGTCTGTCTGTATTTTTGTATATTTATATTTGAAACATTCTGTACGATTTTGTACGGGCAGTTAATATTAGCACAAGTAAGGCAAATTAATATTAGGTCGTTCCACAAGTTCGTGCCGAAGACTGTGTCGAAATTTAATACAAAAAAACCACAGAAATCTTCTAGTAACGGTATAATGACTATCTGCGAGAGGTGAGAAACTATCGTGAAATGAGACAGATTATCTTTTCTTGTGACACTTAAGAGTATGTTTCACATATTAATTTGAGAAATAGAAGTACAAATGGCACGAATTTTTACGACGACCTAATATCATTAAAAAATATCATTAAATTTTCTTCTGCTTTATTTCATGGAGTTATCCAGTCGTCTTCCGATATTAACAATTACCCAATACTTTCTCAACTCCAAAACGAGACATCCCGCTCAACATCAACCTACTCTTTAATTCCTAAACCATCAAATTTCATTTTAAGAACAATTCTCTTAAAACAGGTAAAAAAGTGGAACAAAAGGATGGGAGAGCTTCGTGGGAATTCCACGTTCCCCGGACATTTCGCCGATTCTCACGTCGCACCGAGATTCGCCAGCTATCCGAAGGTGTGACTTACACTTACCGCGTTTCGCAATACGTACGCACAGCGTGCTTTATCCAGTGATTCGTCAGCCGTTTGCGTGTTCGCCGTCGCACCCCGTCCGCGAGCATGCGCGAGTCGCGTGTCGTCGTCGGGGTTTCCCAGTCGCGAGGGTTGGCCGTTCAGTTGCGTCCCGACGTCGACGAGGAGTTGGCGCGTCCTTTCGCGGTCACAGACGTCACGCTACGACTCGCGTCTGACCACGACGCCATGTGACCGTCTCAATCTACTTGAATCTGACACCACGATGGATGAACCGTAACCGAGCTCGCTCCAATCGTGTCGCATTCTTATTTGACCGCCAAATGGTTGCGCGAACCAGCGATTGCCGGCGCCAATATTTTTAAAGTCGGAGCGGTAATCGAAGAATCGAACGTTCGACGTCGAACGATCGAGGCTCGCGCGGCGATCGATCGTGTCGATGATCCGTCGCGTATCGAACGGTGTCGAACGATGATCCCCCGCGTAAAAGGAAAACGAGTGAAGTTCGCTAGTGACTGTCGACTGGCTGTCACGTGTTTGGGATAGAAAAAAGGCCGCGTGCTCGGGGCACGGTTTACGCGCGTGTGCGTGATGTTACTATGTGAGACAATGCGGCGGGGTGTTGGATACTGTAATCTGTTGAGGTGCAAATTCTTCATCCTCCTGGTCCTGGTCGGGTGCAGCGATGGATACCTGAACATCTTTATCAGCCAGTCCCAGGTCATGAAGCTCCTGGGTGAGTTTCTCAACGAGATTTTTCATTATTACTTTAAAAAATGCTATTATGCTTCCTAAAGTGAAGACCCTTAAATTCGTATCTGTTACAGAAGCCTAAAGAGATTTAAAAAGAAAAATGACGTATATTTACAAATATAAAGAAACATGTGTATGTGTATTTCGCTTTGCACGTAAATAAGTCATGCATGCACGTTCCATTAGTGTTTTCCACATTAAAAAATGTCATGGCGTAGAATACACGTTCTCCAACCTTCAACTAAAGTTTGAAACCGTTCACGTTAATACCTTCGTTGCAAAAAATTCCCAAAGAATACCTCCTTTCCGTTCCCGAGCGACAATGGCCCCTTAACTCGTTCCTTTCCGCGTTGAAGTTAAAAATACACGAGAACTTGGCGGCCCCTTTGACGAAAGTTTTCGCGCGCGTCGTTCGTTAACAGGTCCCGTTACAATTGCAACGCGATGAACGTTTTAGTTGTCAGGGCAGAACTGCGGAAAGGAAAGACACGAGATGAGGGAACAATGAACGCGTCGAATTAGAGCTGACCATTGTATCGTCAAAGTGTCAAAAAACTCGGGCGAGGAAAATTTTATTGTGCGTTTCATGGGGTGCGAGCAAAGATAAATAACCTTTGATTAATTCATTTTTTTTTAACGAGAGTTTGGAATTACATAATGTTATATTTGTGCATTCGTGTACATTCTCGCATATGTCCTGTATTTCTATGTTTCATAAGTGCACGACCATTCGCAGTAGTTACAACACTTTTAGCCATAAACATCAATACGAGCAAAAGATAAAATCGTCTCTAAAACTAAAATGCGAAAAATGTGTCGACGAAGGAATGTCGAAATTGGCCGAAACACGTATCGTTGGTATTAATGGGCAATACGTCACGGGGCTAACACACAACGGTAAACAATGTTATTTGTACGCGAGTCGGGTCTCGAAAACAACGTTATTTAAGAGATAAACCGATAAATTCGCATCGGCGTATCGTAGATTTTTAATTGGAAGTGTGGCGCAATTGTGCATGACCGGCTGGTAACGAGTCACGGCTGCGTATAATTGCCGAATTAACAATGGCCGTGGTGAACGAGATCGAATTTAATAATGCGCACCTGTGCAAATCACATCGAGCCTCCTCCCCCGTTCGTCCCGTGGTTCTTGATACAGTATTGATCAGCGTTGCGACGAAAAAACCAGAGAAAGAAAAAAAAAAAAGAAAAGGAACGCCGCGGTCGTTTTCATTAAATGGGGTGCATCTTAAATGGCGACAAAACCGACAAAGCGGTTTATTCTTGGCGGGGGAAATAAATCGAGATTAAGGCCGCCACAATTTTGCAGAGTTTCGTCGACTGTACAGAATGTCCGTGTTGTTGTGTACTCGGGTAAAATAATTATATTTTTAATATTAATAATATTGAAATATATTACAATATACTCTTCTAAGTCAACAAACCAAAAACATCCATCAAAATACATCATTCGTTGACTCAAAAATACACTCTAAACCACACAAGTCGTAATTTATAGTAATTAAACGAACGTCTGCCTCGATGATTGTCCAATGATATAACAGAATTGCGAATAAATCGCTATCCAAAGTTTCCATTCGCTATCTGCGCCTCGAATGAAATTCTTAACGCTCCGCGGAACAGGGATCGGAGGGAATAACTGCGCGACGCTTAAAAAACAGCAGCCGCGTCAGTTAGAGAGAGAATCCCGGAGCCCACCGGCGTTACCATGATCGTTGCAATTGCTCTAGCAATTTGCGGCGCGAGGCGTCCGTTTTTGGTGGTCAACAGCTATGCACACAGGCACCATTTACGCACCTGCATGTACTTAGTCTCTATTCCATCCGATATCACTTTACGGCTCCATGATTCATTCGCCTCTATCCGTCTGCATATACAGCTTGGCCGTTCTGTGTGCTCAGCTTGGTAGCCGTCAGTTTTCTGCCAGCAGAAAAGGGGGAAAAAAGTGAAATAACTGTATTTACGAGCTAGCAACCGTTCCGTGACTATTCGAAAATCGAGCCAATCGCGGCGCGTCGTCGCGTCCGGAATGGCTCCATCGCTCGTTTCTGGTGTCAATGGTCTTACGCTCGGATATCTACGCGTTTTTCCACGGATTTGCGCTAATAGCGACGTGCCGCTATGCGAAACAGGGGTAGAGCGTAAAAATTGCACGGAACGCGTCCGATTAAAGCGACAGCTGGCTTCTTCTGGGTTTTCCGCGGTGTACTCCCTGGCTTAACGAAGTACTAGTACTTCCAAAAGGGTCCTTTTCTCATTGGATCGAGTGTATACTATTATTCAGGTTAGCGGGATAAAAAATGGCGTAGCTGCTGAAATTTAGATCGAATAGGATATTGCAAATATAGGTATTATATCGTTTTATTACTATACGTTTTATTAATATATGAAGTATACAATTGATAATATTAAATACATTATCGAATCAACCAATTTCTTTGTAATGTATGAAAAAATTTGCATCAACATTCCCAGCCTACTATATTATCGACGTTCAGATGATATCCCCAAAGATTCGATAACAATTTATTCCCGCAACCCGAGACGAAACTTTCCCCCAATTCTTTCACGCCTCATCGACCTTAAGCCTATCGAACCCACCCCCAATCGCGACACCTCGAATTCATCAGTCTTCGACTCGACAAAGGCGCACCCGCGACGTTTCTCGAGCACAAAAAACGACGCGGCGCGGAAAAATGCCCGTAGACGATGCAACTCCGAACCGTTAGTCTTCGTCCTCCCCTACGGTTGTCCGCGGCGAAGGGATATCGAGTCGTCGCCGCGAGGAGCGAAAGGCGAGCCCGGAGCCACCGAGTCGACGGAAAGAATGGTGGCTTTCGAGTCGATTTCTCAGGTGCCTAAGCACCCGTGGAAACCCAACGGACGACGTAATCCTCGTTAGATCTCGAGTGACGGCGGAACGGTGCCACTAAAGGCCCCGCGACCGGGAGAGAAAGGGTTGATCGGGTCCTCGCGCGACCCGATCCACCCGGAGGCGAGTTTAGTCGTCGGGGCTCTTGAAAGTCACTTAACTTAGATTGCACCGACGAAATGACTTTAGTTCTCCCGGAAAACTTCGTTCCGCTGGCGGAGCATTGCTTGAAAGCACCGAAAAAAGGGGTCGCCAACCGGGGGATGGGAAGGAATGCACGAACGCCGGGAGAGCTTGCCGTTACAAGGAGGGTAGGAGAGGACGAGGGAGCGCGCGAGCCTTGGCCTGGAGCTACCAACCCCTCCGGGGGGGATGAAAATACAAGTACACATTCGGCTGGCATCACTCATCGCGCGGATTCAGCACGTATCTCGCGAGAGAAGTTTCGAAAGCTCGTACCTGAGAACCGACACTGATTGGCCAGACGATTTCTAGAACATTGCAACTGAGTCGAGGAACGCTGATCACTTGGGATCTCGAAGTTTAAATTTAAATCGAACTAATATTTAAAGGCTATATGTATAAAATGCAGATTAGCAATTTAACAAACAATTTATGCAAAATCAACGACTTTGTAGCGCGCAAGTCATCCGTATCAGGTCCGCCAATGCGAATGATGAAACTCTTCGTGATATCAACAATTTCGATACTCGCAGCCCGAAAGCCCAGAAAAGCCTCATACGTCAAGTTTCGGGCGAATCTGAAAACTTTTACCGAGCAGCTCTCTTTTTGACCAGCATTTTGGGATCCCGCCCCGACGGCGGGGTCGCGAAAACTTTTAGAAAATGGCTTTCGCTCGAACTCGTCCGCCCTGTCCGGTGGAACAGCCGTCCGAACACTTTCGAATTACCCGCTCCTGAAATTGATTTTTAATTTGCACCCAGACACGGCGGTGCGTGACGCGCAATCGTTTGCCCCCCGTCCCCTCCTTCTCCATCCAGCGTGTTTCGCCCCGTCTGGACCGACAAACAGCCAACATTTTCATTCTCGTTGTCTGCCAGGGCTGACTGGTGAAACAACTCTCGCACTATAGTTCGACTTGGACTCTGTCGATGGAAACGACACGTTGAAATCGCCTGCCGTAAGTTTCGTTGCAAATACAGGGTCTGTCGCGAAACGAATGAGGAACACTTGGTGATGGCAATGTGTAATATTCTGTTTTTTCTCAGATATTATTGATAATGGGAGGAAAAGTTGAGTCGTTGATTATTTAGATTGATTTGTGTGGAAACAAATCTTCCCGACTATAATATTTCCCTTACAAAATAATCTCTTTCCAATGTTCTATGAACGTTAATTTTCTTATCCGCGACGATTATTAAAACTCGAATCGATGCGCCATTGTCCACCCTTTGAAGCGGTTACTTAAACGTACGTTCGAGTGAAATTGGGGAAGCGTATTTTGATAAATTTACCGCACAGATAATAATGCACGGGTCACGAGTGAAAATACCACGAAATATTCCACTATGCGTACCTCTATTAAATTGAACCCAGTATGATTAGACCGCATGAAAGCTTATTCAAACGAGCGGGCAAGGTACTTTATTGTGCTTTAATGCGTTCCGCTCGTGTTGGAGAATTATCAGCTATATGGACGGGCATTCTTCCTTCTCGGTGCACATTACGGTGTACTAATGTGCGCGGAAGAGATTAGGCGAGATAAAGAATCAATTTTAACAGTTATATACTCGTGAAAAGTCTGCTAATTTTTTTCTTCGTCCTCTGTGGTTTTATATTGTACATTTAAAAGCCGTTAACGTAACATTTACCCGTTGCCATGTATTCCATGGTGCCTTATAAATAATGTAATACGACATACTGTTATACTATTATTGGATATATTGGATATATTGGATATATCTCCTTACTGGATATATTGTAATCCCGTAGACAGTGCGTATCACACAAATATTTGAACCGCAGAGATACCATGTGCCACAAGCGAAACCTAACATTTATTGTTAAATATCGATTCAAATATTTGTCGTATGCGCGAACGATCGAACACAGGGCTAATATTTTATGGC